TTACAGAAGGGTTCAATACTATATGTACCTTTTGTTCTAGGTTTTACATATATGGATTTTGGGTTCCTCTCGATTTCATTGATGGCTTTTAATTCTGTCTCTCCTGGATTTACCTTTATTTATATTTACTGGCGTCATAATTTCTCCCCAACTTCACAACAAGTGACATCCATGACCATAACAATCGCTTCAGAACAAGAGGTATCCTCCACCACCACAACAACAATTCACAACACCGGCTTACCAGCACCACCATCGTTAACTACAACCATCACCATTAGTATCAATACAACACTAACCAGCTGAAAAGCTAGTGCCCTTGTTTAAGAAAAACCTTGGGTGCAGGAGTGTACAACGCTTCATAGCAAGAATAACAAGAGGATGAGTAATAAAGGGGGCAGAGTGGCAGCGTTGACAAGAGCCGGTAACTAGGCAGCGTGACCCGGTCACTAGGCAGCGTGACCCGGTCACTGGGCAGCGTGACCCGGTCACTGGGCAGCGTGACCCGGTCACTGGGCAGCGTGACCCGGTCACTGAGACAACCAGGAGGAGTGGAAGACACTCTGCACTCAGCCATGAAGTGAACAGACATCCTGAGGGTGACATGTTAACCTTCAAGGAGACAGAACAACCATATGAGGAGCCTGGCGAGCAAGGCAGCCAGGTAACATAAAGCACCAGGGTGAATGAACAAATCCACAAGCGCCGCGACGAGGGTTCGAACCTGCGTAAGAGAGCATCCCAGACACTGCCTTAATCGACTGAGCTACGACATGGTCAACTCCTTTTGGCCATGTCGTAGCTCAAGTCGATTAAGGCAGCGTCTGGGATGCTCTCTTACGCAGGTTCGAATCCTCGTCACGGCCTTTGTGGATTTGTTCACCAGGGTGCATCTCTAGCCTACTCGACAGCAGTGAGCGTAAAACTTTATATAAAGAGAAGTGAGCAAGATGATTTACCTGCAGTCTCTACCCATCCTGGTTAAACTATTCATAGTTCATCAAAGCCTTCAATACTGGACAGATATAGGTAGATAAACAGATATCTGTTTATCTGGACAGATAAACGTCGTCGTCCCTTCACCTTCTAATGTGTGGTCTGGTCATCATACTTTAGCCACGTTATTGTGACTCATCGCCTGCAGATATAGGCAGTTTTCTTGTTATATATTTGGCGAATATTCTTAAGGATTTTCCCCACTTGGTCCCATAAAAATCAACTCAACTGACCACATGAAGGATCCTCTGACACACACTCGGTTCCACATTCATCCTGTAACTAATTATGATTGCCTCCTACTGTAAAAGTGAGCTTTACACCAATTTCAGCAACAATGGGGAAGGGTGAAACCTTTTAACAAGCCGCCGGTTTTCTATGCCGGCCGAAGGCCATTAGAGATAGTGGACATCAGGTGTATTCAGGCAAACATAGCTAGAAAGTGAGCAGGTACTCCAAGCACAAGTGATACATATTTAACTGAGAGTATACCTATGTGTGAGGCCAGTCGGTGCGTGTGGCCGGGGGAGAAAGTGGAGAAGGGAAAGTACACCACCAACGGAAACCCTGGCATCACATGGCGCCCCATAACTCGCGGCGCAAGTGTACCTCCAGTCATGGGTGTAGGGCGTGGGTGTACCTCCTGTGATGGGTGTAGGGCGTGGGTGTACCTCCAGTGATGGGTGTAGGGCGTGGGTGTACCTCCAGTGATGGGTGTAGGGCCTGGGTGTACCTCCTGTGATGGGTGTAGGGCGTGGGTGTACCTCCTGTGATGGGTGTAGGGCGTGGGTGTACCTCCTGTGATGGGTGTAGGGCGTGGGTGTACCTCCGGTGATGGGTGTAGGGCGTGGGTGTACCTCCTGTGATGGGTGTAGGGCGTGGGTGTACCTCCTGTGATGGGTGTAGGGCGTGGGTGTACCTCCTGTGATGGGTGTGTAGGGCGTGGGTGTACCTCCAGTGATGGGTGTAGGGCCTGGGTGTACCTCCAGTGATGGGTGTAAGGCGTGGGTGTACCTCCAGTGTTGGGTGTGTAGGGCGTGGGTGTACCTCCAGTGATGGGTGTAGGGCGTGGGTGTACCTCCAGTGATGGGTGTAGGGCGTGGGTGTACCTCCAGTGATGGGTGTGTAGGGCGTGGGTGTACCTCCAGTGATGGGTGTGTATGTAGGTCGTGGGTGTACCTCCAGTGATGGGTGCGTAGGGCCTGGGTGAACCTCCAGTGAGGGGCATATGGGTCTGCCTCCAGTAACACACTGGAGGGATACAGGTATAGACATCAGTGGAGTGGGGTGGCAAGAGTAATGTCAGAGGGTGCAGGGGACGGGCTCCAGGTGATAGGGATGTAACACCAGTGATTAATAGAATTAGCTTTGATTCCAGGGGGATAAATGTAAGTGGATTTGACTCCAGTGATAAACACAAAGGTATTGCCGTGGCTCTTGATAAAGGCAGAAGCACATGGGTGTAGCTATACTGAAATGTTTGTATGTATATCCATCAATGACATTTGTTCAAACCCGACAAGAACAATGCCATTAGAGCCTGAGCAATGTTATTTTTTTTACATTTAGTATTGGGGAAATTGAAGGAAGTCAAAGAGCATGTTGCAGAAGCCAACTCTATTCAAACTTACACAAGTAGATATGATACGGAAGTAGGTCAGGAATCATTGCGCTAAACAATGCATTAAATCGGTGGCTAGAAAAGCGGGTCCAAGAGCTGATGCTTGACCATTGCAGGTATAAAGAGCCGAGCGCAATCAGGCGCGTGCGGACCGTCATGCACACGCCCCGGCGCGCACACAACTACGTGTGCGTGCGTGCGTGCGTGCGTGCGTGTGTGTGTGTGTGTGTGTGTGTGTGTGTGTGTGTGTGTGTGTGTGTGTGTGTGTGTGTGCGCGCGCGCGCGCGCGTGCGTGCACGGTGTGATGGTGAGAACGGGAAAGTGCTCCCGCCTGCGTGCGTGTCCTCACCTAGTTGAGCTTGAAGGGTTGAGCATCTGCTCCTAAGCCCGGTTTTCGATCATCACTGGTTCAAAACACTGACTCCTTTCACCACTTTATCTTATATTTACATTTAAAGGCGTGTTTCAAGTTGGCTTCGTATATATATATATGTGTGTATACTCACCTAGCTGTGCTTGAGGGGGTTGAGCTGCGGTTCCCTGGTCCCGCCTCTCAACCGTCAATCTACATGTTCCTGAGCTTCTCGATCTGTCATATCTACATATGAAACTGTGTATGACATCAGCCTCCACATCACTTCCTAGTGCATTGTATTTGCTTACTACTCTGACACTGAAAAAGTTCCTTCTAATAACAAAGTTCGTTCTAATGTTTTGTGGGTCATTTGGGTACTCAGCTTCCACCTGTGTCCCCTTGTGCTAGTTCCGCCCGTGTTATGTTGTTATTGTTGGTTTAGATTTAGCCACTCATAACGAAATGTCCATGTAGCACGGGCTAAAGTGAGCCCGTAACACCCATGTTAAATAAACAAATCCACAACGGCCGTGACGAGGATTCGAACCTGCGTCCGGGAGCATCCCAGACACTGCCTTAATCCATGTTAAATCATTTATTCTTATCTACCCTGTCAATTCTCCTGAGAATTTTGTAAGTGGTGACCATGTCTCCCCGAGAGTTTCTGTCTTCCAGCGACGTGAGGTGTAGCTCACGCAGCCTTTCCTTGTACCTCATGACTTTTACATTCTGGAACTTGTCTAGTGGCATACCTCTGAACTTTCTCCAGCTTCGTCTTATGGTTGACAAGGTACGGGCTCCATGCTGGGGCCGCATACTCCAGGCTTGGTCTTAACATATGTGATATAATAGGTTCTGTATAGATTCCTTACACAGGTTTCTGAAGGCTGTTCTAATGTTAGCCAGCCTTGCACACAACCTTGTATGTGTACTTACCTAGTTGTGCTTGCGGGGATTGAGCTTTGGCTCTTTGGTCCCGCCTCTCAACTGTCAATCAACTGGTGTACAGATTCCTCAGCCTACTGGGCTCTATCACATCTCCATTTGAAACTGTGTATGGAGTCAACCTCCACCACATCACTGCCTAATGCATTCCATCTGTTAACTACTCTGACACTGAAAAAGTTCCTTCTAACGTCCCAGTGGCTCATGTGGGTACTCAGTTTCCACCTGTGTCCATCTGTACTCACCTATTTGTGCTTGCGGGGGTTGAGCTTTGGCTCTTTGGTCCCGCCTGTGTGTGGTCATCTTTGGTCATGTGTGTGTGTGCGGGTGTGTGCGTGCACGCGTGTGCACGTGTGTACGCGGCAAGGCAGCCGCGGAGTCCCCGTGGCGGGGCCTTGTGTTACTGACCCACTTGTGTCCGCACCCCCCCCCCCTCTCCCCGCCACACCAACATGCTATAGTACACAGCTCACACATAATACTAATAATTCAACATGTACAACTGTTCCAATGTTTCCCACTTTACAACACTTTTGGTTAATAAAGGTCCAAGCCAGTAAATAAAAGTCTGGAGTAGGCAAAACGCCAAATTAAAAATACGGTTTATTTATAGACTTATAGGATATTACATTATGCTAATTTAATTTCTTATTGTACAGGCTTATATATCGAGTTCGAACACAGCGTACCCACCTGTGAGTGGGGGGAGAGGGGGAGAGAGGGGGGAGGTGGTTCGAAAATCAAATTTTCGATTTGTTCGAAAATCATAATGACATGATTTTGGAGGAATCAAACACCACAAATTTCCTCGTGTGTAGCCCACTTGTTTATAATGAAAGTTCAATGTTTAGACCTTGCAATAAGAACACTCCTACATCTATATTATGGGAGAGAGAGAGAGAGAGAGAGAGAGAGAGAGAGAGAGAGAGAGAGAGAGAGAGAGAGAGAGAGAGAGAGAGAGAGAGAAAACAATGAAAATAAGTACATTTCCAAGTGTAGCACGCAATACTATCATTTATACTTTCATGATAAATAAACAATATCATTACTAATAGTAAAAATTATTCACTATTGGCCACACAGGCAGAGGTGAAAGCTGTTTTGAGTGCGCGCCTCGTAAAGCCGCCGCCGCCACACCTCACGGTGGCACTGAGCGAGTCTGGGAAGAGTGCCAAGGTAACTAGGTAAGTGGGTGAATGGTATAAAGGTTAAGACCTGTGTATGGGTATGGTTGTCCAACCTTAATATACCTTCACATACCAATGTGTTCACGTCCCCCTACGCAACTAAGGAAATGGATGTGATTTTAAAGTAGGATTTACCGTTGAGGAGAGCTACATGTGCGCTTATTAGTTGATTTAACTAAGACCATCTTGCAAATATACGATCAAAGGAAGACTAATCGACCAGCTGGAGACGAAACGACCAGTTGGAGACGAAACGCCCAGCTGGAGACGAAACGACCAGCTTGAGACGAAACGACCAGCTGGAGACGAAACGACTAACTGGAGACGAAACGACCATCTGGAGACGAAACGCCCAGCTGGAGACGAAACGACCAACGGAAGACCACACCGCGGGACTACCTATTTACTAATTAGTCACACGGAGACCATTATCTCTACACAACTTTCTAAATGGTTGATTATACCGGTGTTGAGACGCTACTCCCAAGCCAAACACTTGGGCCACGGCTTCTATACTTTGATTTACTTCAAAAGTCCAACACGTATCTTATTAAATACATTCTCGTTTTCTGTTGTAAGAAAGGAAAATGAATGTCTGAGTCAGCCGGCCGGGCTTCGCTAAGTCTAACCAAACCAAACTAGTCAACAACATTGCTCGAGCTTAAGCCCCGAAAATAAAACAAAAGAATGCCTTCGTAGACGCAGATAAAAGCCCTATTGTTTCTACAGTACTACCTCACTAGTACTTCGTTTTATCTCAGTGCCGGCATATACTCCGCTTCTAAATCTTGACTAAATCGTCCGGTAATGTATGAAATACATCTGTAATTAACCATAAAATAGGATAAATGAAGGATGAAAAATATCATTATCATAGTTATTTATATATTTGTGATCATCTGAAAGCATATTACGGTTATAATAAGTCTACTTATAAACTGACAAGTGAACCTTTGTCTTAAACTGAGAATATTCTTAAGTTATACCTTTATTGTATTATAAATCACTGGATTAAAATATAATAAGTATATGATGAACTCGTTTTCATTGAAAGTCTAAAGAACTTGGTTTTCGTATTTAAAATTCTAGGGGGATACTCAAATCGTTTTCGAATTCCGCAATTCACGTTTCAGAACAATACACCGGATTAGCATAACTAAATGTAATGAAACCTTAACCTAATCTAACCTTACTTTACCCTAATCTTTACCACACCATGGTTACGGAGTAGATAGTAACACTAATTTGGGGGGTAGAAATAGCCTAAGCTACTCTATCCCTTTGAGATGTATTTCTTGCTTATCTCAATAAACATACTTGAACTTGAGTAACACTAATTACAAAGTGGTTTTGCAGTGATTACCTCCAGGGAATCTCCTCCCTGAAGACAGGTTGAGAGATATGCTGTAAACAGTATTCTGAAGACTTCCATATTTGTCTGAAGGCTACACGATTATTTGCCAGTGTTGCACTTTCTGGTGATCTGTGCCTCCGGCATCAGAGTTGAAGTCATGTCAACCCCAGCTCTCTCTCTCTCGTCTACCCTTTAGCTCATATATCTCCTGAGGTCTCCTTGCTCCTGTTCTCATTTTCATAACTGTTTTAGTCTAAGACTTAAATTCCAGCAGCCATTTTTCATACCATCTTTGACGCTTGTCTAGATCTTTCTGCATTCTCTCGCAGACTTCCCATGTCCTAAACTCTTGTCAATAGCTTTGCATTGGCAACAAATATGGTTTGAACGAGTCAATATTTGCAAACAATGCAAAGTTCTTGACGAGTCAGTACAGGAAAATTGTGACTGCAAGAGGATCTAGCCAATCTACAAAGATGGTGTAATGGCTACAGGAATTTAACCCTGAAAATGCATTTAAAAAATGCGCGCGCGCGCGAGAGAGAGAGAGAGAGAGAGAGAGAGAGAGAGAGAGAGAGAGAGAGAGAGAGAGAGAGAGAGAGAGAGAGAGAGAGAGAGAGAGAGAGAGAGAGAGAGAGAGAGAGAGAGAGAGAGAGAGAGTACTCACCTATTTGTGTTTGCGGGGGTTGAGCTTTGGCTCTTTGGTCCCGCCTCTCAACCGTCAATCAACAGGTGTACAGGTTCCTGAGCCTACTGGGCTCTATCATATCTACACTTGAAACTGTGTATGGAGTCAGCCTCCACCACATCACTTCCTAATGCATTCCATTTGTCAACCACTCTGACACTGTGTGTATGTGAATGGTAATGACTGAGGACGGGCTTAAGGGGAAGAAGGAAGATAACGGAAGCGTGGTACTGTACACAGGTATTAGTACCTGAAGCAGGAACTCACCTGGCCTCTCCCTCACCACCACCACCACCACCAGCGGCCTCCACACCCAGTAACGGTCCTCCGCGCACTACCCAAGGACACCACCCACACGCCTTCATACATTACACCATAAAGGATGTATTCGTGTAGTCCCTTCTCCAGACTTATCAAGCCTCAAATTAGAAGTGGTTTAATGTAATAAAATGCGTTCGCACCTTCAAAATGCACCTACCTTCTCGAAGCCGATACTCTTTAGTCTCAAGCGTAAATATTAGGCTTTTAATTTAAATAACGCACCGGGATTTTTACGATGTACAGTATTCCATAACGTCGAAACCGCAGTGCTGTAAGAGCAGGTTATGTAGATAATATCCCGAAAACTGATTCATTATTATACACAGTTAAAGCAATTTCTATATAATAATTATGTAATTCATATACACCTTAGGCATTTCACATTGCTGAGGCAAACGAGATTTGAAGCGAAACACGGAAGCCTAGGCTAGGGTTCAAAACAAAAACAGCACCAATGTCGTAGTCTAGCTGGGAACAGCTTCTACACACAATTATAATATTGGTGTAAATATAAATGAAGAGCATGTACAAGCAAATTTATAGACAATAATTAAAGTATGGTACAAGACTCTACATTGAGAAGGTAGAAGAACCTTCATGTCTGCACGGTAAAATTGAACACACAGTTTAATGTAGACGCACAACTTTGGCCATGAGGAAAGAACTAAACGCCAGCACAAGAATAGTAACAACAGGAATGCTACTGTTTCCCGTCGACTTTACCTCGCTGAAACCTCTCAAGGATTATGCTACTCGTGGCCATTATTATAGAATGGTCAAATTGTCTTGGCAACCAGGAACAATATCCATGTTAACTGTTTCAAGCGTAGGTTACACATATACAGTCTATGTGAATGAAATTGGGCGGTTATAAATCGGAGTTGCCTCGTTTGTATGGGCCAATAGGCCTTCTACTGTTACCTTCCTTATTATGTTGTTATCCATGTCAATCCTCAGGGAGGTCTGGTCGGAGACTGGGCCGCGGGACCATTGATCCCTGGAAGCTACACACAAGGTAGGCGTGTGACTTGCGAAGAAACGCTCACATTACTAACACAAGTCACATTCTTTTGTAAGACGCAGAATAGTTGACACGATAAAATTCTAGGCAGCATTATATAGCTAATTTTTAGACTATACATGCATGAATAATATTATGTGTACAAAAGACCTATTTAGCATGGGTCAATAGGCCTACTCGTGTTTTCTACTTAAATTATCTATGGCTGAAGATCCACGCTCTATAAACACTTCAGGCACCAGTTGTACAAATACAGCACGAGAAGCAAATTTTCTCGGTGTTTGCAAATGTCCTCAGCCCCGACACTTCCACACAAGGGGCTATCCTGGCAGTCTGCATATTACCGCCATCGTTATCCCAATAGTTTGATTTGAATAACTATACTGCTAACTGAAGCAAAATTAGCAAATGATAATAGATATACCAAGATTACAAGTCACTTTGTTACAAGTTACAAGTTACATTGATCCAGGGATCAATGGTCCCGCGGCCCAGTCTCCGACCAGACCTCCCTGAGGATTGACATGGATAACAACATAATAAGGAAGGTAACAGTAGAAGGCCTATTGGCCCATACAAACGAGGCAACTCCGATTTATAACCGCCCAATTTAGTCAAGTCAAGATTACAAGTCACAATGAAATCACAGTAGTGTATAAATATATATACTCAAGCTTGTTCGCATATATATATATATATATATATATATATATATATATATATATATATATATATATATATATATATATATATATAGCATTGTTTCAAGCGTAGTGTAATATATATATATATATATATATATATATATATATATATATATATATATATATATATATATATATATATATATATTCTTGTCGACAAAATACTTTCAATAGATAATAACTATCCTAATAATGAACAAGTATATATATGCATGCATATTAAATTTGAAAATTAAAGTAATATAAAAACTATATTTAAATACAATTGCTCAATAAGGAGGAGAAAGTGAAAGAGTCTGGGAGGAACATGGGGGGAAGGCAAGGGGTACAGGGAGGCAGGCAGGGAAAGGAATGGGTAGGAACGGGACAGCGAAAAGATGCAACGAGAGGGGAAGGGGGGTAAGGAAGAGGGGAGGGAAAGGGTAAGGAAGGGAGGTGAATGGTGCATTCGGGAGGGCAGGGGAGTGGGGGGGGGGGGAAGAGTGAGGGAAGGAGGAGGGACCCGGAGGTTCGCCTGACATTGACCCACTTGCCATGCACGCTGATCTCTCGCTATCATAAACATCACAATACACGCAGTAAGGATCCACACACAAGTATTAATATTACCGGCAATGATTGCATCGCCGTAGCACCCTGGGTTGCCTCCACATTTTACACTATACGAAGATTTCTCAAAACGGCTGGCTTTATATATATAAAATAATTGTGGAATACGGAATCATAACTACATACGTGGAATACATAAAGGTTTGGCAGGCGCGTGTGCACAGAGTGAGAGGGCTGCTGGGGCCACCAGGGTGACGTAAGGTGTGGAGCAACACATTATACCACTTTCATGTATCTTGTAAACCTCGCCCCACCTGTTCAATATCATTATAGCATGTTGTTTACCGTGTTGTTTATGGT